CTTCGTGTCTGTAGTCCTTCATGCCCTCCTCCCAGTACATATACTGCCAGCCAGCTGTGGAGGCAAAGTGGAGAGCAGTGGCTGATGGCTAGGTGCCCAGCTGTGAAGGCAAAGTAGAGAGCAGTGGCTGATGGCTAGGTGCCCAGCTGTGAAGGCAAAGTGGAGAGCAGTGGCTGATGGCTAGGTGCCCAGCTGTGAAGGCAAAGTGGAGAGCAGTGGCTGATGGCTAGGTGCCCAGCTGTGAAGGCAAAGTAGGAGAGCAGTGGCTGATGGCTAGGTGCCCAGCTGTGAAGGCAAAGTGGAGAGCAGTGGCTGATGGCTAGGTGCCCAGCTGTGGAGGCAAGTGGGCAGTGGCTGATGGTAGGTGCCCAGCTGTGAAGGCAAAGTGGAGAGCAGTGGCTGATGGCTAGGTGCCCAGCTGTGAAGGTGTAACCCACACACCTCCTGGGTGTGGTGCTCTGTCCCATCTAGTGGCACCGAGACCTCTTAGAGAACGAGATTAACGAGTTTGCTTTACAGCCTTAGCTAGCAGCCCATTGGCTTTGAGCTCATGCTGTAGAGGCTCAGGCACTGAGGTCCCTGGTTCGATCCTGCCCACCAATGCCTGGGATCTGTCGGCGTTACAAGGGCAGTGCTGCACCAGTTAGCAAGGGTGGCAATGTGAAATTTTTCACAGCAGACTAGGGTGACCAGACAGCAAATGTGCAAAATCGGGACGGGGGTGGGGGGTAATAGGAGCCTACAAAAGAAAAAGACCCCCAAATCAGGACGATCCCTATAAAATCAGGATATTTGGTCACCCTACAGCAGGCTTAGCACTCCATTGCCACCCTTACTTCTGTACTCCTGCTGCCCCGCCACCCCACCTCCAGGGCTGACAGCTGGAGTCCTGCCACCTGGGGGCTGAGTGATTTGGGGGGCAGAATAGCCAGAGCCTGGGTGGTGGGGCTCTGTCTGTCCCCTTTATCCTCACCTCCTGGGTGTGCACGGCCCTTCTGCATGAGCCCCAGCCACCCAGGGCTGACAGCCAGAGCTCTTTAAAAAGCGCCCACAGAGCTTGTGCCTCCCTTGACACATTCCTGCACCCTGCTCCATAGTTTGAGAACCGCTGAGCTAAATAGATCAAGCTCCTAAAGTTTATCACGATAAGGCATGTTTTCTAATCCTGTAATCATTCTTGTGGCTTTGCTCTGAATCCTTTCCAATGTATTGACATCATGCTTAGATTGTGGTACCAGAACTGGACACAGGATTCCTGCAGTTGTTGCACAAGTGCCAAATACAGGGGTAAAATAACCCCTCTGTTCCTAATCTAGATTCCCATTTATGCATCCGAGAATTGCATTTGTCCTTTTGGCCACAGCGTTGCAGTGGGAGCTCATTTTCAGCTGATTATCCACCACGACCCCCAAATCTTTTTCAGAGTCACTGCTTCCCAGCATAGAGTCCCCCATCCTGTAAGTATGGCCTGCGTGCTATGTTACTAGATATATACATTTACATATAGTGTTGGCTTGCACTCAGCTCACCAAATCAGTCACCAAATCATTGACGTGACCTCTTCATTACTTACCGCTCTCCTTCTCTTTGTATTGTCTGCCAACTTTATCAGCGATGATTTTACGTTTTCTTTCAGGCCATTGATAAAAATGTGAAATAGCGTAGGGCCAAAAACTGATCCCTGTGGGATCCCACTAGAAGCATTTGATGATGATTCCCTGTTTACATTACATTTGGAGACCTATTTGTTAACCAGGTTTTTAGTCACTTGATGTGTGCAGTGTTAATTTTCTATCTTTCTAGTTTTTTAATCAAAATGTCATGAAGTATCAAGCCAAATGAATTATGGAAGTCTAAGTCTGTTGCGTCAAGTCTAAGTCTGATTACCTTTATCAACCAAACTCAAAAAAAGATATCAAGTTAGTTCAACAGAATCTGTTTTCTGTAAACCCATGTTGATTGACATTAATTATATTAACCTCCTTTATTAATTGAATCTCATATCAGCTGCTCCATTATCTCACCCGGGATCTGTCAGACCTACAAGCCTATAATTACCCAGTCATTTCATTTACCCTTTTTAAATATTGTCACAACATTTGCTTTCTTCCAGTCTTCTGGAAATTCCCTGGCGTTTTGAGACATCTTGAAAATCAATATTAATGGTCCGGTGAACTGCTCAGCCAGCTCTGAAAACTCTTGGTGGCAAGTTATCTGGAGCTGTTGATTTAAACATTGCGGTAGTTAGTATCTTCTGTTTAGTGTCCTCCTGAGATTCTAGTGGAATGGAAAGAGTGTTACCGTATAATATGACCACATCATCTGTTTGTTTGTTTTTTGTCCTCACTGTAAAGTTAGGATAGGAATAGGATATTTCTTTCAATGCAACAGGCAAATAGCAGCAGAGTCTCTTGAGCTGATGGATAGACAAGGGAGTAGGAGCCTGGACAGTCTGAGCTCCGGTCGAGACTCTGCAACTGACATCCTGTGTGGCCTTGGGTGAGTCCCTAAATCTCTCTATACCCCAGTTTTTAATCACCAGAACTTTATTAGTTTAATTAAATATTGTCCATATTAGTGGCTTTGCTGTTTTTTAGAGGCGTGCATGCAACCATGGGGGACAGTGCAAACAACTGGCAAAGCAGGTGGAAGGAGGTCTAAGGATTCCACTCCCTTCTGGCAAAGTGCTGCTACGAATCCCACAATTGCAAAGAGAAAAGTCCCAGAATACATAGAGCCCAGCCGTGAAGCAAAGCACCATGGGATACTCACCCAGAATGCTGAGCATTTACACTGCCCAGCCATCGAGATACATACTGAATAAGAAAACAGTTGACAATGTGCACACAGTCAGTGTGTACCATCTAATATGCACCACTTAGTGTGAACAAACTCAGTGCAAATTAACTCCCCTGTGTAGACAAGACCAAAAAGGACTGGAGTGTGGATTAAAGGAAAGTAGGTGTAACACCTCCCTGCCTGGCTCATCAGAACGGTTACCATCTGCACTGAAGAGGTAACTCTGTTAGGTGGGAGCAATAGTAGGCTTTTATCCTCCAGTGGCCCAGTCACTAGAGGGGAATGTGACATTTGGCCAGTGTGATGTACAGGCTTGGTCAGCTGAGCACATTCAGAGGCCGCGCAGGAAGATGTTATGAAATGCAAGGGGCAGATTAAATGTCTGCACCAATGGCATGCAAAGAGCTGCAGAGCACTCAGTCAGGGCAGTGATGCAAACCACCAGGCAGCTCTTTAGACAGCAGGCTGCTGTTTGAGCCCCGACTGCACAAACTGGGGGTGGGCAAATGTTAAGCCCCTGAATTGCTTTGCCGGCTCACTTTCCCTGAGCGGTGTAACTGACACATCTCATCAGACTTATACCTCCTTACACCTCTGCTTCTGAATTTGGCCCTCAAAGTTCAGCTATTTTTTCCCTCTATTTGTGGCCTTTACAGGTTTGGTGTCTGAGACTGCAAGCTCTTTAGGGCATGGTCCTTGTCTGCTATATGTACTGCAAAGACGCTTGCATTATTGTCATTATTTGTATTACAGCAGTCCCGAGAGCTGCGAATCAATGATCAGACCTCCTCTGGGTTGGGCTCTGCACAACCACAGTCCCGGCCTCAAAGGGCTCACCCTCTGGTACAAAGATAAGGCATGAGAGGCAGAAGAAACAGACAAAAACATGAGTCAAAAGAGGGTGGGTGGATGAATAGGTAACAGAATTAACATGTTATGCACAGTAAATAGCAATCAGTCCCAATGCACCACTATTATGTAATCACAGAATCATAGAATATCAGGGTTGGAAGGGACCTCAGGAGGTCATCTAGTCCAACCCCCTGTAATCATCTTCTGCCACCTGGCAGCTAGACTTTTGGGTACTAGAAAACAAATTCATAATAATAATAGCCGGTCTGGTTAGAGCAGGGAACTGTCAGGACTCCTGGGTTCTATTCTGCTCTCTAGTACTGATTTGCTCAGTGCACATGGCAAGTCGATGATCTTCTCTGTACTTCAATTTCCCCATCCGTAAAATGCACATATTTGCATTGCCTTTATTACTTTCTATAGTGAAAACGTGTACATGGATGGCTCCTCAGCTCAGATGTGGGTTGTGAGTGCTAATTCAACGATATTTGTAAATCACTTTGGGATCCTGTCACGGAGTGACAGGCTGGGTGCTCTGGCGTCTCTCTGAATGAAGTCAAACAGGACTCTGGGGCAGCGTCTCCCCTCAGGGCACCTATCACCAGGGCAAGAAGCCTGCTCTGCTTCCACGCCGCCTGGGTCTGACCTCTGAGCATTCAGGCCCCTGCTCACCCCGTGAGCGCCCTGCAGCGAGTCCACCTGAAGGGGATACCTGGGGAAGCTTCACGCACCCCCAAAGGGACCCTGCACACCAACTTTGCAGTCAGCAGCGACCCAGCCACCACTGTAAAACAGAAGGGTTAATTAGTCGTTGGGAACACAGCATAGAACAGATCTTTTTAGCACAAAAAAGCAGGAAGTTACAGCAAAGTCCACCTTGAGGGGGGATCCAGAGCCCTGGGTTCTGCCCCTGAGTCCCAAACCAGGAGATGGGCTCCATCACTCCCAGCTGCCCTGCCTCCCTGCTTTGTATCTGTCCTGGGCAAACAGGTCACCTGGCCTACACCTCTCCCTTTGTTCTCCAACACCTTCAGCTGGCTCCCTGCAGAGGATGGGCTCTGGCTATCAGTTGCCAGGATACAGAGTGTCACCCATTGTCTGTGCCAAGGCAGCCAGTGTGCAGTCACATCTGCCCTCTAGGGGTCTCTGCAACAATCACACACCCCTGTCCCACCACCTAGATACTTGAGTAACACATAGGGGAAACGGAGGCACACGGTATTCAGAGAAAACGTTAAGAACATTTCCACTTTGTCACAGATCCCCAGAGGAAAGGTGCTATAGAAATCCAAAGTACTTCTCATTATTGATGGCGTATGATATTTTATTTGTCTATAGGGAAGGGACCCTGGGTGAATTCAGACAGGAAGCCTCGTCACATCATGTCAGCTCTCAATCAAACCAGCTTTCATCCTGCCTCCTTCTTCCTGATTGGCATCCCAGGCATGGAGGAGCTGCACATCTGGATCTCCATCCCATTCAGCCTGATGTACATCGTCACACTTTTTGGAAATTTTACCATATTATTTGTCATCGTAACGGAGCGAAGCCTCCATGAGCCCATGTACTTTCTCCTGGCCATGCTGGCCATCTCTGATCTAATATTGTCTTCCTCTACAGTGCCCAAAACTCTGAGCATATTCTGGGCACATTCCAAGGAAATCTCTTTCGATGCCTGCCTGACCCAGATGCTCTTTACACATATTAGTTTTATTGCTGAGTCAACAATCCTGCTGGCCATGGCGTATGATCGGTATATTGCCATATGTGATCCCTTGAGATACACGACTGTGCTAACACATTCAGTAATAGCCAAAATAGGGCTGGCGGCTCTAGCTAGAAGCTTTTGTGTGATGTTCCCAACACTTCTTCTCCTTTGGAGGCTACCGTACTGTGGACACAACATTATGCCTCATACGTACTGTGAGCATATGGGCATAGCCCGGCTGGCCTGTGCCGATATAGCTGTCAACATCTGGTATGGTTTTACTACAACTCTTTTATCACCAGGATTGGATGTTGTGCTCATTGTTGTGTCTTACGTTCTCATCCTCAGGGCTGTCTTTAGGCTCCCGACCAAGGACGCCCGGCTCAAAGCTATTGGGACCTGCAGCTCCCACATCTGTGTCATATCCATGTTTTACATGCCAGCATTCTTCACCTTTTTCACACATCGGTTTGGCCACAACGTCCCCCACAACTTTCACATCCTACTGGCCAATCTCTACGTGCTCCTTCCACCCATGTTAAACCCCATCGTCTATGCAGTGAAAACGAAGCTAATTTGGGAAAAGGTGGTCCGCCTGTTCTTCAAGGCAGGGCAGCGGTGCTGAATGCTGCGACTGGGATGCTATCCCCTTAGAAATAAACCAGATGGAAATTGTGGGCTCCAGTGAGGCCCGTCAGGAAACTTTGTGTTAGACCATTTTAGATGGTCTCTTCCTCATCTCAGGCTCCATGGTGTAGTGTTTGCTGGTCAGAGGAATTGTGAGACTCTCCTAAGACTAAAGCATGGCAGTTAGAAAACAAAGAGAAACAAAGGATCACAAATGGAAGCTGGTAGGACCTAAGGACCAGATCTTCAGCATGTGTAAACTGGCATTGCTCCATTAAAGTCAGAGTCACTACGCTGATAAGCACCTGCTGAAGATGTGGCCCTTACTGTATTTCTGAGAGGTACATTTTTACCCACGTTCTGCCCTGCTGAACTCTGTGTTGGGTCATGTCTTTTACTCTTGTATCTCAAAGTTTTCAAAAATATTGGACTTGTTTTCTTAACTATCGACTTGGACAGAGCCAGGGCTGGCCTTCAGGAAAACGGCACCCTGGGCTCCCACCCCCTCATTGCACCTGGGCCCCACTGCCTCCTCCCAGGGCTTAATTTGTAATGAAAGGCCTGGCACAAATTAAGCACTGCACAAGGTACCTGCAGTAGAAAGTCCAGTGGGGAGGTTTGTGTCAGGCCAGGATCCATAGCCAGCCAGTATGTCTCTGGGGCATCTGGACTCCTGTGGAGCCTCTGGAAAAATAGAAATATAATCCCTGAGAGAGGGTTTGCAGTGAATCCCCTCTGGGGCCCAGGGGTGATTTCGCTTCCCTGTACCAGCAGGAGGGGAATCAGTCATGTGGTCTGATGAAGATGAAAGAGATGACCTAGTCTATGTGAACTATGCACATGACAAATAGAGACAAGTAACCCAACAGCCAGGATTTTCCATCAAGGGGCCTTTCAGCTGTCACTGCACCCCCATTAAATCAGTTAATGGTGGTTTTGAGGGTGCATGGAATGCAGGATTGGGCCCCACATGTGGCTCCCCAAAATAGTTCCTTTTGACACTCCATTTACCACAGTCCAGAAGTAAGAAGAGCATCTGTAAATCCTTATTTCACACTTTGAAGCACCTACCAGATACACATTCCCATTGTACAGCCCCTTTTGTGTTCAGCTCTTAGCTGAATTGTACCGTAAGGATCTGATGGGAGGTGTTAGCTCTTCCTATCCAAAATATTTTCCATTCTTTTCATTTTTAATTAAATGTTTATTGAAGACTTAGGCTGTTATCTAAGATAACTTCGCACCTGAAAACTCTGTGGTTTTTGCAGATAATAACGTAGAAATTAGCTGTTGATTTTACTGTACCCACACAAACCCACCAACATATTTCCATTGATCATAATTGAAATTTACAGGAAGAGGAAGCCAGAAAAATGCTGCTTGAGAACTTGTCAGGCCATGTCTACACTTGTGAGCTTGCAGCTGCACTGTGTGATCACTCATGTAGCTGCTCCGTGCTGATGGGAGAGGTCTCCCGTTGACATAATTAAACCACCTCCAATGAGCGGCGGTATCTATGTTGGTGGGCGAAGCTCTCCCACCGACATAGCGCTGTCCACATGGACGCTTCTTTTGGTGAAACTTATGTTGCTCCGGGGGTGTATTTTTTTCACACCCCCTGAGTGACATAAGTTATACCAACAAAAGTGTAGACATAGTCTTAGAGTCAAAATCCAGTAATTTAGACTCTGAGTTAGGCTTGTTACAAATGGACTAGTGAATGATAACTCAACAAATCATTTCTGAGTTTAGGATATTTACTTTGTTATATCTTGGCACCTTGTGGTTTTTGCAGTCCTGTTGGTCCCAGGATATGAGAGCCACAAGGTGGGGGATGTGATATCTTTTATTGGACCAACTTCTGTTGGTGAAAGAGACAAGTGTGCGAGTGCCACAGAGCTCTTCTCTGGGTCTGAGTGCCTATGAGCTCTGTGGAGCTCAAACGCTTGTCTCTTTCATTCATAGACTATCAGGGCTGGAAGGGACCTCAGGAGGTCATCTAGTCCCACCCCCTGCTCAAAGCAGGACCAATCCCCAATTTTTGCCCCAGATTCCTAAATGGTCCCCTCAAGGATTGAACTCACAACCCTGGGTTTAGCAGGCCAATACTCAAACCACAGAGCTATCCCTCCCTCCATTCACCAACCGACGTTGACCCAAACAGAGATATTACCTCACCCACCTTGTCTCTCTGTGTATAAAAGCTTGAACTCTTTGAAATCTCAACTTCTACTGTCATTAAAAATGTATCTGACCTCCCCCCATTAATTTCCCACAACTGTGCTGGGGACACTGGGGCATGGCCACTAGGTAACTCGAGGGGATGGAAGACCACGAGTGTCGATGAAGCCCCCTCGCACTAGGCCCAAGTGTCCTTGGGCCCCCGGCCTGGAGGCACTCGCAGCAGTTATGCTCAGGATCTGCAACAGTATGTTGCAGAGTCAGACTGCCTGAAACTAAACAAGGCCAAACAAGACAGATATGGAAGAACAGTGCTGAATAAAGCAGCGTTATGTATGGTTTAACAGCTGGTATAGAGAACAAGGGAACTAGCTGGTAACTGGATTGGCTGGCTATATGGATACTTAGGGCAGCTTGCTATTGGATAAGTATGCTGGAGAAAGGATGTATAAAATCCTGTGTAACTTCCTGCTCTGTGTGCAGGATTTGAGATTCTAATCTCCCTGTACCTTCTTTGAAGCTTCAAATAAACTTTTCTGCTTCTCCACCCCATTGTGATTATTGGGTGATGCACACTGGGCAGCGAACCCCCTGCTGTTGCTCGCCTCTGGCACTGGGTGCCGGCAACAACTGTGAAAATTAAAATTTATAAAAATACCAAAAAGCTTAAAAACAAACAGTTGATACTACCCAGCAAAGTTATAAGAAACTAAAAACTGAATTCTACCAAGCCTAATTATAAGCCACCAGAACAGCAGGGTGGAAGTATGGGGAGGGAATAGAGGGGTGGGGAGGGAGTCTATCCCCATTAGAGAGGTCTCTCAGTTTAAGGACCTGAAACTTGATGTCACACTCACACATTGAAGTCAGAGATGGGAATAAAAGAAAGAAGTTTCCTTATTCTTGATGTGCAGCGCTTTGACCAACAGTTTAGCCAAGGCCTTGGGCCAGGAATGTCAGTATTCTCTGAAGTACAACTGTGGAAACAGGAAACAGTTACAAACAGAACGCCGGAGAGCGGGGATAGGCGATGAGGGATTCAAAGAAAGGGAGCTGGGTTTCATGGCGGTCACAGCAGGCAGGCCCCACCTACTTAATGGTTAATCTGCCATTAGAACTCCAGAGCCTAACATCCAGAATATCCTCCCTGGGACAGGGCACAGCGTGCTACTACCCTACCCACTGTGACCCCTGTTCCTGCTCTTGTAAAGAAAGGGGTAGTTTGTGTTAAGTTTGTAGCATCGGTGCCAGAATGGGGGTGGGGACGGGATAGGGGTCATGGTCCATCCACTATTCGCCATGGGCCCCTGGCCCATCCTCTTCCCCCCAAGGTCCTGCCCTCCTGGCCAGGCTGACAGCTGGAGCCTGGACGGGGAGCCCGGGCAGCAGGGGGTGCTGCACCGCAGACTCTCCACCTGCCCAGGGTAGGGAAGAGGCAGAGAGCAGCCCTGGCCCGTGTCCCCACCCCTGTGGCCCCCCGCCCAGGGCAGGTGGCGGGTCTGCAGCTCCTAACAGCTGCCTGGATGCATGGCTCTTATCATAGCCGGGCTGTGGCTCCGAGGCTCTGTCCCGCATCTGGAGCCGGGTCAGGGTAAGAGCCATGCATCCAGACAGCTGCCGCTGCGAACCCTCCACCTGCCCTGGGTAGGAGGCCCACAGGTCGGGGGCTGCTCTTGGTCCCCCGACTATGGGCAGATGAAGGTCCATGGCTCTCAGACCGCTCCGACTTAGCCAGGGCCGGGGCCTCGGGTGCAAGGGGCAGAGGTACGGCCACAGAGGGGTGGGGTCCCTGGCCCCCCCACTTTTGGGAACGCTCCATCAGGGCTGGCTTATAGTGACCCTTGAATTACCAGCGTTAACACGGCTGCTACTCTGAAACCTATCTTATTTAAGGTTTGGGTTGACATGATAAAAAGAAAGAAAACATGGTTAATTGGAACCAGGTGCAGTAAATAATTATGTAAGTTTGTTTTAAAAGAAATTCTTAGTCCAGTAGTTAGGGAGAGATATGGCAAATGAGATAAGAAAACCTTGAAAAGAGGGACCCACTCATTAGTCTTGTGTTAATGGGGTCAAAGGGCAGGCTTCAGCCCCACTCAGCCCTTTCCCCGCCCCTTCCCTAAGGTCACACCCCTTCCCCCCTTCTTCTCTGCTCACTCCACCTCCCCTCCCTCCATTGCTCCCCCTCCCCCTCCTCACTCACCTTCACCAGACTGGGGTAGAGGGTTGGGGTGCAGGAGTGGTTGTGGGGTGTGGTCTCAGGGAGGGAGTTTGGGTGCGGGACACGGTGTGGGATGTGGGCTCTGGGAGGGGGTTTGGGTGTGGGGTGTGGCCTCTGGGCTGGGGCAGGGGGTTGGGGTGCAGGAGTGCAAGCAGGGTGTGGGCTCTGGGAGGGGGTTTGGGTGAGGGGTGTGGCCTCTGGGCTGGGGCAGGGGGTTGGGGTGCAGGAATGCGAGCAGGGTGTGGGCTCTGGGAGGGGGTTTGGGTGTGGGGTGTGGCCTCTGGGCTGGGGCAGGGGGTTGGGGTGCAGGAGTGCGAGCAGGGTGTGGGCTCTGGGAGGGGGTTTGGGTGAGGGGTGTGGCCTCTGGGCTGGGGCAGGGGGTTGGGGTGCAGGAATGCGAGCAGGGTGTGGGCTCTGGGAGGGGGTTTGGGTGAGGGGTGCAGGCTCCGTCCAGGCGGCACTTACCTCAGGTGGCTCCAGAAAGTGACCGGCACATTTCTCTGGCCGTGACTCCTCGATGAGGGGGGGCAGGGGGTCTCCATGTGCTGCCCATGCCCACAGGCACTGCCCTGCAGCTCCCATTGGCTGCAGTTCCCAGCCAATGGGAGCTCTGGAGTAGGCGTTTGAGGCGGGGCAGCAGGCAGAGGCCCCCCTGGAAACCCCCAAGGGCCACAGGGATGAGCCAGCCACTTCTGGGAGGAGCGGGGAGCCAGAGTCCCTACTCCTCCCCCTCCCTCCCAGCACCTCCTTGACGCTGGGGAACAGCAGTTCCCCGGCATGAAGGAGGTGCTGGGGGGAGAGGGAGAAGTTGAGGAAAGGAGGGGGAGGAGTTCATCAACGGGGCCCACAGACCCCCTGGAATACCACGGACCCCAGTTTGAGAAATGCTGCTATAGTGTATAAAGAGCAAATTTTTTTTAGAGTTTCCTTTGTCAGAGGTTTTCCTTACCCCTCTGGAGTCACGCCATGATGGGAAGGTATTTCCCTAGCCTGATCCTTTTGTCAATATTTAGCTAATGCATATAACTGTATTGTTGCTAGGATATAACATGTAAGTGCGGATCTGCTTGTAATTATATTTTGGGTGTAATCAACACCAAGTGCCCTTTGGACTAATAAAGGAATTCTTGTGTGGAAACTTAATTGTGCTAAACCTTAATAAACTTATTAGGGAAATTATTTCCAGTATCTGGCCTTTCTGCTCACATTGGGGAGGGACTAGAACCACTTTGGTGAAGTTCTGAAAGAATGGGGGGAACGGCCGACTGACAAGATGGAGGCTGACACCTCGGTGAGAGGATGCACAGAACCGACAGAGTTGGTAGGAACAGGGGAGGGAACAGATGGTGCTGTGGATGACATGTCCAGCCAGGTCAGTGAGCCTGCAATAACCACAGCCCTCGACAGCATCCAGAATGCGTTCAGCCAGGGAATGGCTATGCTGGCCGGTAACACAAGTTTGTTCAGGAACGAGTGGCAGACCAGATGATCATTCATGCCTAAGGTTAATATTTTGATGGGGTTATTTTCAGTAAAAGTCACAGACAGGTCGTGGGCAATAAACAAAAATTCACGGAAGCCTGTGACCTGTCTGTGATCTTTACTAAAAATAATGGGGGAGGGTTTAAGGATGGGCGACTGAAGCCCGAGCAGGGGGGATGAGAGCCCAAGCGGTGGTCCAGCACATATCACCGCCGTGGTGGTTGAGAGCTCTGTGGCCCCTGCTGCAGCCCCAACAGCTCAGAGCTCCGGGTCCCCCGACTCCCCGCAGCAACTCAGAGCTGCAGATTCCCCCTCTGCCCATGTCAACGCGGTTCAGGCTGCTCAGTGCTTCTGGCCTTGGAGCTCCAGCGTTATCAGTATTAGCAGACAAGGCAGCCTGCTCATTCAAACAGACCTCAGTGTTACTCATGAAGAAAGACCACAGGCACGGTTTGGTGACAAAGGCACTCGGCAAGGTTTATTGCCCTCAAGACACAGTCTGAGCTCAGTGGTCACAAGTATATTAACACGTGAGTGCCCAGGGGCAAGGAGTGGTTCAGTCAGCAGCAGGAGACTCTGCTGTCCCCAAGGCCACACAAAGGGTTAAGGTGAGTTACCCCAACATTTACAGACTGAGACAAACAACTGGGATAAACAACTTACATACCATCTTCTGTGTTTCAGGACGCCTGTTTGTTACCTTCTCTTGTTCCTGATATCTTAGACAAAATATCCCTATTTATTATTTAGTCAAAGCAGCTTATCTTGTACTAGACTGGGATGTATCTGCACTACCTGGAATACATTTAGGTAAATATCTAGGGCCTAGTACACGAGCAACAACTTTGCCAAGTCCATGTCTGGACAATGAACTTTTGAGCATCTGCTTTAATACATGGCCTGACTTTGGTTCACAGCCTCTTGTTCAGGCCTCAGATCTTGCACCAGGCCCAATGCTCCAGACTCTCTGTCTCTATTACACTGGCCAGCCCTAGGGGAATACCTAAAGTCCCTCTCATCCCACTCCCCCATGTTGATAACCTATTCAAAATGATAGGCATGGACTTTGTGGTGACTGTAGAAAAGAGCACAATGAGGTATCAATATGTCTTCATTATCCTTGACTATGCGCTACATACCCCAAAGCTAACCCACCAATGGAGCTGTAGCCCAAGGTCCAGTGTGCTTCAACAGCAGCCCTGGGAACTACCAGTTGTGGACTACAAACTGTGGCATATTGGGAGAACTTCCTGGTTCTTGCCAAGACGTACCCTCTGCCCGCCCAGAAGCAGGTCTCAGCATTGACTGAGCCGGGAGCACATAGCAGGCAAGCAGAGAGGAGGCTGCTGGACTGTGATCCTGTTCTATGTTCTTTACAGAATAAAGCCTTGTTCCTGGTGGTTTGTCTGAGCGAGTCTGGCCTGAGGCGACCACACACTGACACACAAAATAGAACACAGAAGGAGCCTCAGGCCCATTTCCCAAAGTTGTGTAAAAAGTTGCAAGGCAGGCTTCCCCTATCTTGAGCAACCTCATACTAGGCTGGGAACAGGAGAGGGGCTACACACCTAACATCACAACTGAGCTTATGAAATTCTTCTCCAAGGAGGTAATACAGAGAGAAATCCTTACTGTTCAAGGACCTAACAACCAGTGAAAGAACTATGTCATCTACTGAGGGTAACAACATTAGGAACATCAGTCTACCATCCCCAAACGGATGGGTTGGTGGAGTGATTTCACAGAACTTTGATGGTGACGTTAAAGAAGTCTGTAGCCTCGGATCCCAAATACTGGGACCAACTCTTCTCCTACCTCCTTTTTGCTGTCAGAGAGGCGTCTCAAGCCTCCAAATTTTTTTTCCCTTTGAACTGCTGTGTGGGAAGCGGCCTCGAGGCTTTCCAGGCCTGCTAAGAGAAACAGGGAAGAACAATGATGAAAATAGTTCAATACCTCAAGAATTTGTGGGGGGTTTGCTAGAAAAATTTTGCTAAATGCACAACAGGTACAAGAGAAGGCCTATAACAAAAAGTCCAGC